GACTCGTGATTCTCCTGTCTTCAGCCTCCCAAGCGCTGGGGTTACAGGTGCATGCCACCACACCCAGTCTCAATCCCCGTCTCAGTGCACTTTGGGGGCGGGGCCGGCACAGCATGCGGGGGATCGCACCTCGGCTGCTGTGCTCTGCCTAAGCAGGCGCTTCAGTGCGCTGAGCTACCTGGCTGGCCCTAAACTTTGCTCAGGAGCTCCTCGCACTCAGCTGTGTGCCTGCGCCAGTGCTTGGGGCCTCGCAACAGGCCACAGATTCGCTCTTCCACTTCAGAGGCAGGGTTCATGCTCCACTTCCCAGGTGAGGAGTGGAGGCTGAGCACGGGTAGAGCCTTGTCCGTTGGGTTTCTACTAGTCATAGCCAGTGCCAGAAGGTGCCACTGAGGTGTTACGTGGCAAGGAACCCTTCGGCCTGTTTGCACTCCACACCCAGTGTTCTTTGGATCCCTTCACCCCCTAGTTAGGAGGCAGAACAGAGCATTGAGGTCCTCCCCAGGGAGGACCGCTGCTTGGCAAGGTGTGTAGGTTTGTGCCCAAGCCTGTCACTAACGTGCACTTCCTTCTCTCTGCCTCTCTCCAAGGCAGGGAACACGGCTCTACATCTGGCCTGCCAGAACAACCATTCTCAGAGCACGCGCGTCCTCCTGCTGGGCGGCTCCCGCGCCGACCTCAAAAATAATGTGGGTGAACAAACCGGCCTCCTTTGGGCTCTTTCTCTTGTATCCCCCTTGAAAAATAAACGCAGAGGCGTACTTGAGTGTTTACATCTAGAAATGAAGAAACAAATTCTAGTATTTGTGGCCGGGCTCTAAACTCTTCCTTTTTTTTTTTTTTTTTTTAATTCTTTCTCCCTTTGCTCCTCCTTAGTATGATTTCATCTAATATGTATCGGGCCTAGACAGTCTAGGAAACCCATAATATTTAAAAAAAAAATCCCCACCTGCGAAGTCTTATGCTATTAGCCAGTTCAGGACAATGCTTGGCAGGGGATGGCCTGCACACACGGGACAGGACCTGTTGATTACTGAGGTGTCCTTCTGATGAGCTGACCGGAAAGGTCCCCTGAGTGTCCCTCCTTCCACAAATAAGCTGCCTCTCCTGCATACATCTGGGCGTTGGAAGAGGGTCAGAGGCTTCACCCAGCAGTGTCTTGGCTACAGCTGGCCCTTTTGGGAACAGATCATGTGAGGCAGATCTAGAATGCTCTGAGCCTCAGTTTTGAGATGGGCTCTTTCTTACTCTAAGGAGAGAAGGTTCTGAGTAGGTGCCAGAGAGCTCAAATGGAAACACCAACAGGACACTGGAGAACATCGTATTTCTGGCCTTACTTTTGTTGTTGAGGCTCTGGGAGTTGGGTCTGTGCCCACTAAGGAAGATCCTGATCTTTCCTGAATGCCCCTTTTCACCGCAGTGACTACCTGCACATGTGCAGTCTAGGCTCCTTTACTCGACATGAGAGTCGGATAGCCATGTTGGCTCTGTGCCAAGAAAGGCTTGTTTCCAAAGCAGTGCCTTTGGGTCTAGTTCATTTCACACCAGACCTTGGGCAGCTGAGAACGCTAGGCCCGTAGACCCTGATCACCCACCTAAGCTCTCCTGAAGGTCTCGTGAAGAGCAGGCATCCAGTTTCACAAACACGGAAGCAGAGACCCTGGCTGACTGTACAGTTGTTCTTCACAGGTGGAGAGTGAGCAGGCTCGCAGCCAGCAGCCGTAGCAACACAGGACTGCTCAAGTTGGACTGGAGCTTCTGGGTTGCAAGAGTTGCTTATTATTCCATTAATAAGAATATACCTACCAGCTTTTAAATGATGTTTGCATTTTGTTTTTCTGTATTGTTTTGTAACTGCTGAGTGCTTAGCATTTGATTTCTGTCCGCAGGCAGGCGACACCTGTTTGCACGTTGCTGCACGCTATAATCACTTGTCCATCATTAGGCTCCTCCTCAGTGCTTTCTGTTCTGTCCATGAAAAGAACCAGGTCAGTGCATGAATCCTCTTCATGGTGCCAGCACCGTTATGTAAGGCTAGCAACAAGGTTGGTAAACATAACCCCACAGAGGCTGCTGGGAAATGCTGCTGTCAGGAGCGCTGCTTCCTGCAGGGTGTCCCCCTGAGTTATTATGGCCCTGGGTTTTCTCACTTCCTAGAGAACGTGTACCCTTATCATTTCTGTTTGTATCACGACATTTTCATATTAAACTTGTCTTGGAGCTTCTAGTGTGAATTTTGTTTATGACATGATTTTAAGAAGGAAGTCCACAAGCAGCAGCGTGGTTTACTATAGTAGAGATTTAGTAGTTTCATGACTCTCCTGAGTCCTGTTCCTTGCACGACTACTTATTTCATTTGAGCCATTGCACTCTTTTGTTTCTGTAAAATTGGGTACATGACCTGAATCTGTACCATATAATGGGGTTTTGAAACGAAACTAGATTATTACAGTCTTCTTCGGAAAGGAACAAGCTTCTCAGTAGTCACTTGGGTGAAAGACATAGACTGTTTTCATATTTATTGATACCTAAATGATGCATTGTTTGACTTTTCTGAGTTTGGGTGCATAAATGTGAAATGTATGTAAAAAGTGGTTCAGAGTGTTCTGTGGGAAGTACAATTATTTCTAGAATCCACAGCCCAAACCTCTTGGTTCTTGTATGTTTTTAGAGAGCTCCCTCACTGACCCAGTATCAAGTCTGTCATTCTGCAGCCACGCTGGTAGATTCTAGCTCATCAGGTGCCCTCTGCAGCCCCCACCAATCAGTGCCGCTTACACTTGGCAGCATCTTACAGTTGCCAGGGAGCTTAAAAAAGATCCTCACACCCAACTCAGACTGCAGACCAATGAGATCAGGTCTGGAAGTAGAGCCCTGGCATTAGTGGGTTTTTTTTTTTTAAAGCTCCCTCGTGGTTCCAAGATTGGAAACTGCTTCCACAGAGCTTTCTCCCCAGCACACACAGCTAAGTGACTCAGAAAAGAAACAGCCAGTTTTGCTTCTGCTTACAGAGATGGCTGAGTTTTCATGACGCCTGTGGAAAAGATATTAAGGCTCTTTGGCTTGCACATGGCAGGGGACAGAATGAATATTTTATTTCTCCTGTGTCTGTCTGATTTGTTGATATTACACTATTTGAAAACTTACGGCATTTGCATTTGGAATTGGCCAAAATTGCAATCATTTTTTCCTTCCTTGGAAGTTTTCTAAAAACACTCTCTCTGAAAAGTAAATATAAAAGCGTATTTCTAGGCTGTATGGTCAGAGGTAGAAAACAGTCTTAAGTGAGCACTTAGTGCCTCCCCCAAAGCACAGCCCAAGGCTGCAGTGGGTCTACAAGTCCTAGGCCCCTTGGGATCCCCTGTCTGGCGAGGGCTGGGCTCTGCCCCTCCAGCCTTGTTTGCTCTCCTGCTCAGTCCAGCTCTCATAAGCCAAGCTGCTTTCTGACCTCCCTGGATGGAAGCACTGGTCCCAGAGTGCCAGGATGAGAAGCCTGCCAGCCCTATTGTCCAGCCTCCATGGTGCTTCAGCCCCTACCACCCTCACCCACCACACCCAATGGGACCTCACTCCTGTATCTAACCCTATTCTGTGATGGTGGAGTCTTCTGGAGGAAGGAACAAGGGACAGCTGTATGTTCCAAGATCTCTATAAATAGAACCATGTAACACTTTAACTAAGGGCCTAGGGTTTGCATAAGAGAAATCTTAATTTGATTTCAGAGAGCTGCCCTAGCCCAGGGATGAACAGCTACAGAGCTGAAAGCCAAGATCAGATGGGTTTACAAAACTTTCTTCCGAATTTCAGGCTGGAGACACAGCCCTTCATGTTGCTGCTGCCCTAAATCACAAGAAGGTGGTTAAAGTCCTACTGGAAGCTGGAGCTGATGGGACCATTGTGAATAATGTAAGTTGAGTTGCACCTAGTTTCTAAAGACTTTCTCAGGTGCTTCCAGGTGGGGTGTGTTGTTGTAACCTAACTTCTTACAGACCTCAGGATCCAGTGAGTACTGCCTCTGAGGCTCCTAGGTTTTGGGTTTAGCTAGCACCTACATCACGGTCATGGCTTCTTCTCTCTTTGCCAAGAAGATTTATTATTGCGTGGACTTCAGGATCCTTTGTGTTGTCCTCAGCAGAAGCATTCTTTCTTGGTGCTTCTGGTTTCTACCCTTCCTCCTTTCTTCTCCTAGGAAGCATTCCCTGTGGGCAGTGCCCTGGCTTTTCGCCTCCTAAAGCATTTCCAGACCCCCTGGGGTCAGCACTTGCCCCTGTTGCTGAGAGGTGTTAATTAGCCTGTGCTCTCGTGTGAGGAGGCCCCTTAGGGCATGGTGTGAGGTAGAGTCAGGCCGTCCTGTGGCTGTGTAACTGAGCATAGGCAGAGGTGCTGGGTGTGGTCAGGAGCAGAACTGCCTGCTTCTGATGAGAGCTTTGTGTGAACAGGCTGGTGACCCTCTCCCCTGTCCTCTGTCTGCCTTTCCTTAGGCAGGCCAGACTCCGCTGGAGACTGCCCGCTACCACAATAATCCAGAAGTTGCTCTTCTCCTCACTAAAGCTCCCCAGGTAGGATTCTCTGTACTTTCAATTGTATTTATCACGTGGTTTCAAACTTGTCATGACTCCTCTGGTTGCAAACTGTTGAAGCCACATGGAACCAAGTAAGTAAAGAATTGATAGGCAGGGCCAGGGAGATGGCTCAGTGG